TTAGCAGCGCGTTGGATTATGCTAAAGAGAGCATCAAACGCTCACAGGAACAACAGCGTGTTCAAGCCAATAAACATCGCCGAGAAGTAGACTTTGACGTTGGAGATAAAGTGTATATCCGGCGCGGTGCTTGGAGAACTACGAGACCGTCGGATAAGCTGGAAAATCCAATGGTGGGACCATATCGGATCATTGCCAAAGAAGGGCATTCATTCCGCGTTCAACTACCCGCCTCTTGGAAAATACACCCTGTATTTTCACCAGACCGACTGCGCAAAGATCCAGATAACCCGTTGCCCGGCCAGGCCAATCCAGAGCCGCCGGCAGAAGAGGTCAATGGAGAGTTAGAATGGGAGATCGAGAAGGTGTTAGACGCGCGGCTGTATCGCAATCGGCTGCAGTACAAGGTTCAATGGGAAGGCTGGGACGCAGACGAGGAATGGTATCCGGCTGCCAACTTTCGGAACGCACCCCTCATATTAGAAAAGTTCCACGCTGAGCACCCTAAATTGCCAGGGCCACCAAGACGTCTCGCTACGTGGTTGGACGATGCCGCACATGATAGATTTAGTGAGGAACATCCGGAAGATAATATGGTGACCAACCAAGGTCGTGACAACCAACGCCGCCGCAGAAATTAGTCGATTTGGGACAATCGAAGGCTGAGGAGGGGGTGATGTCACGGCACGGCATTCTGCTCCGCCATGATATACAATTACGTGGAGGGAGGATGTGAGACTGATGGCTGATGCAGGAAGGAGCACGGACGCGGCGATTTAGTGGAAACCCGCCCGAATAGGAATAGCCTCAGGGCTTTTTGTAATGAGATCCTGTTCTTTTCTATTCTTCTCCAGCTTAGTATTTGCTTCACAGATTGAATTATTGCCATACAAGCTGTACTTTCACTTGTGCCTATTCTACGCCGTGACATAGGCGTCTGAAATTTTCTTTAATGCCAAGAATTGTTTGTGGCCTGCTGTGGAATACCTCGACGCACCAGTATCAATGGCAATTCCATAAAAATGGGCTTCATTGTACGTTCCAGAGGTAATAAATGGGGCTGGATCATCATCTTATTCATAGAAATTCGACGTTGGGTCTTCACCAGTTATTGAATGCACAAGAGAATTATCTGCAAGGATTGAAAGAATGTCTTGAGGGTTTTCAAGGAATCCTACGGAAGTGACAAATGATTCATCTAAATTAGAATGTATTTCTGTATCTTCAGAAGATGGATTTGTATCTAAAATTAGGGTATCCATTTTTAACTCCAGGTCGGATTCTTCAGGTTCAAATTCATCTTGATAGCCTTCCAGTTCTGCTATATAATGATCGGCATTTTTTTCAAATTTCTGGAGTAATTTTTTCTTAAAGTTCTTTTTCGCTTCTTCTTGCTCTATGGCTGAGTGGTTATGCGGCCAACACCCCTGGCAATTACAAACGTAACATTTCTTAGCGCTAGACCGAGCATGGCTAGTTTGTTGGCGGCATAAAGGTGGCTTCAGAGACTGTGTTTTTGGTTGGAAATTACCAGATTTATGGAAGCAGCGATCGGTGAAAAGCTGTGTCGTAGAAGCCTCATTATTTGCTTCAGCTGTTGATATTGATGCCTGGAGGTCATTTATTAGACCACGTAGTGTTTCAATTGGCTTAAAACATGCGAGCTGGCGAGCTTGGACACTTCTGCACGCATTTATAAGTTTGAGATGTAGGTGCTTATCTGTCCTATACTCCGGGTCTAGACTTAACTGCAGAAACCGAAGTTCCTTCACCAGAATCATCAGGCATTGCAGAATATATTTAACTTTGCCTTCATTTTCCTTCATAATTAAAGGGAGAGATAGCGCTTCCCATCTATCAGACCTATTTCTTTTCATTTCTGGACCTTCAAAATACTCTCTCGTTGCGTTACATAGACTATCAAAGTTCTTGCAATGTCCATTTGAAGTTATAGAATAGTAGTGAGTTAGTGCAGGGCCGCTATGCATGGTCGAATATGCTCTCGCGTATATCGGCTCTGGTATTCCAGACTTTTCACAAAATTCCATAAATATGTTCAGCTTAAAATCAAAATTATCGTCATTGCCATGGTACTTTAAGTCTGGCTGATATATTTTGGACAGGTTTGATAATTCTCTCGAATAATCTGCAGGAGGTAGAGATGCTGCAGGAAGCGAGGCATATTGAACTTTGTATGAGGTTGTGTCGGTAGTCATTGTTGATGAAGGGTTGGCTTTTTCTTTTTGGGAATAATTGGATTGTTTAGAGGTAGAGTCTTTCATAAGGTGCAGAATTTTAACGGAATTAAGAGTTTCATTGGAGTTTGAAACTTCTTGGTACGTCCATTTGGTTGGTATTTCTTCTAGCAACGTATTATGTAAAGAGTTGGCAATGGTAGTTTTTCTATTGCTGTCCCATTCTACCCAACTCCATTTGTTCTCAGATAAAGTCGAAGTCCACGTTGAACTGAGATGGATGCAGATTTAAAATCAGCTTCGGAGAAATGTGAAAACTCGTCTTTGAAAGCTTCCCAGAGATTATCATCCTTAAATTTGAACTCCGAGAACTCTTTCATTTTTTCCTTAATATAGCTGTTTACCAATTTTTGTCGATCTTCTTGCGCAGATGTGGCGGCACTATTTTTAGGAATCAATTCTGCCATTTTTAAGGATAAAATATATGAAGTTTGCGAGTATATGTGTAGTTCACGGGAGTTGAAAAAGAAATTCGGTTGTAAATGATATCTAGGAGACGTGACAGATGCGGAAAAGATAGAGATAAAAGTTTGATAGAGTGAGAACTTATCAAATGGTCGAGTGAGTGGGTGTGTGCGTGATGGACGCAAAATCAAGTGCCTTTTTCAGGGGTTGATTTCTTGAACATAAACTGAATGACGAGGGCCTTTTTCAGGGGACGACTTTCAGATTATATTCCTTAGCAAAAACAAGTCGAACAGAGGCCTTTTTCAGGGACTGTACAAATTATTTCTCTCTTCACAGGTATTCTGATCTGAATTCGGAAAATTGATCAGTGTCGGAATACTCGGGTGGTATTTATATCACAAGCTTTCTATAGCAGTAATAACAATTGGTGGTTAACATATATCTTCTATTTCTTCTTCTAACTAAAGGAAACACGTATAAACAGCAATCAACTCTCTCTCTTGACACCATTCCTAAACAGGTAACTCATTACTCACCAACATAATTAGTCATCATTTATAAGATAATACATGAAAGGTCATTAAGTCATTAGGTCATTCAACAGGTATTATTTATTTGTTGGTGGTGATGAGAGTTGGGTGTACTACTCATTGACGTTCATTATTGCGTCTGGTATCTCAATGATCTCTGGGGCCTTGCCTTTCTCTTCCGATCTTAGTAGCGCTGCTATAAAATCTCGGTGTCCTCGATTCCCGAATTACCCGAAGCTCGGCTGGGGTGCGCGGCACGACTACACCGTCCTATCTTCTGGGTCGAGCCATGCATTTGAGGTCAGTCAACTCATGAGGCCCTGCGCAGTTTGAGCATTTGGGAATATTGTTCGGACAATCTGTTGTCTCATGTCCCCCGGTGCATCTTCCACATCGGCTTCCTTTGACACAGCTTCTCGTGGAGTGAAAGCCCCAGCAGCGTTGGCATTGCTCGATCGGACGACGTCGTGTGAATGGTAAAGCCGGTCCACTCTCGTCGAATAACCGAAATTTGAAGTTAGTTGGTACCTGCTTGAAGTGGATGATCCAACTAGTAGAATATTGCCCTACTTTGGCGTTATTTTGTCGCACCTGAATTGGCATCACCCCACAAACTGACTGGCATTCGTTTTAACCATGTCGTTCGTGACTTCAATTCTGCCCTCTAATGTTCGGATATGGAGGGGTACATGCGGGACTATGACAGACGTCCAGTCTGACGCAGGCTCTATTGCGACTTCCTCCGTTTGGAGTGAAGGTCCAACCCTAAGAAGTATCTCTCTGAGTGCTTCAGACGCACATTCAATAGCGAGACCCGACCTGACTTGTGTCATCGCTAGGACTGCTGAAGGTGCAACCCCGGCTTTCTCGGTGACTATCTTTTTAATTGTGACTGGTGATAGTTTCCGCCACTCATGTTCTTGTCCGATTCTGAGAAAAAGCCGCTTGTCTTCTTTTGGGGGACTTTGTGTGTGAGGCTTTGCTTGTGTTGTAGGCCTTCTTATGTTCGGCGGAGCGGGGAGATCTGGTAGCTTTGCCGCTCTTCGTGCAACTATGACCCACGGCGACTCGGTTTCCCGTGGCTTTTTTGAGAATTTGTGGAGTGGTTTGTCAGTTGTTTTTGCCGCCCTTGGCACAGAGGTTGTTACCTGGATGTTTTCGCGGGCTGGTTTCTTGCCTGTAGGTTTAATGGCATCGGCGATGCCTATCGCAAACTCAGTCACAATAGGTGAAATCTTTTCAATGAAAGGCGCGACCAGGCCCGCACTTTCGGTTCCTGCCTTGGATTTCGCCCAGGCGTCGATATTTTGTAGGAATTCATGAGCTAGGCTCATTCTCTGCTTTCGGTCGCGTTCTGATTGCTCCATCGCGGCAGCAATCCCAAGAAGGCTCGGGTGGAGGTGGTCACCTGGGTCAATTGACGCCGAGGACGACGGCTGGTTGTGCGCAGCCATACTACTGCTTGATAATTCTAGTAAAGATAATTAGAGACGTGAACTGATGCGCGTTGTGATTTTTAATCTGAGTCAAAAGAATCAAGAGGATTTTTCCAGATTTTGTAGTTGGCTTGCTAAATAGCTGAAAATACATGAATAGTTTGAGCCCATTATCACGTGACAAGAGGCTCCTGAACGCGGTCAAGTGACACAGGAGCTGGCCATTGCATCAAATCATCCAAATCATCCAAATCTCGACCCCCGTTTACTCCACGATTGTCTGATTAGAGATCTTAAGGCATGAGATATGAAGGTTAAGATACTGAAATGGAATGCCGTGGCAACTTGGCGGTGGGATATACCAGACGACGATGTCTGTGGGATTTGTCAAGCCCATTTTGACGGTACATGCCCGACTTGTAAATACCCTGGGGATGACTGCGAGCTGCGTAGGTGCACCTATTCTTTATAGGTTTTGCACACACACTGAAGCCAAACAGTCTCTGGCAAATGTGGGCATAGCTTTCACCTTGTACGTATATTTGCCATTAAAGAGAAGAGAGAGCTGACTTGCGGGACCAGCACTGCATTATTGAATGGATTAAGCAGGAATCCTCTAAGGGACAATGTCCACTGTGTCGCCAGAGTAAGTTGGAGCTAGACGTGTTGTCTTGTATTCCTACTGACCCCTTCAGAATTTGAATGGACTGAGAATAAACCTGTGGGTGCTTGAAAGACCCCATAGTCCCTACAAGCTGTAGAAGAGCCCTTCATCTGATGTACTATTTCTACCATTATTCATTGCTACTAGTCAAAATGCAATCGCATGTGCAGGATGGGGTCTGAGGCGTCACGAATACATTCTCCGATCTTTACAGAATGGAGGTCGCTCTTCCACTACAACTGTAATCGCTTGTCACCACAGTCTTATACTACCATTTTAGACTGAGGCTTGATGTTCGACCAGGATTTGCGGTTTGTCAAAGTAGCTATTCCTTTCACCTTATTTTATGACTCGATGACTAATTATGGCGCTCATCAGATCGAATCTCACATTTGTAAGAGTAATAGTCTATGGTATTGGTTCTAGAATATTTTCGCTACGCTACACATTGACTATTTATTCATCTCTCTAAAACATGAATTTTAGTAAATTTTATCCGTGTAAGACTTGCATGGTTTATTCATAATAATTAATATCGTGCCAAAGCACAGCACGTGAGCTCATGACGCGCTCCTCAGTCCAGCCCTAGTGTGTGTGTTTGTGTTTATTGTACTACTTGAGTCTATGACTATCTAGCACATTAGGCTCCTCTCTGACCTAGGCCACACCTTGTACAGTGCTCCTATCCTCTTCTTTTATTTGTAAGATAATTGATAGATTGCCCGTGATGAATGGCCATTCAGCTCAGTATTTAGCCATGGAAATTAGCTACCATTTCCACGGAGCCTTCTACCCAAAAAAATAAAAAAAAAGGTCGCAATGGAAATTTCGTGCGCGGGAAAAAGTCTCAAAAAACCTGCAGACCCAGCCAGGCGAGACCTAGACACCGAGACCACATGAGGTGCGCATATTCATCTATATCTCCCTTCTTTGTAACAGTTGAGGTCGACTTGATCCAATCCGCCATCTCCGTATCGGGTGCTGGGTACGCTCCGGAAACTCATCGGATGGCTTTTCCTCCGTGATCAAGGGTTGTTGATGAGTAGGGCTCCGACCCTACCATCTGATCTGATCGTGGTTAGCTTCATGATAATGGTGATAGGGGAATGTGTTGAGAGATGAAGACGATACAGACCGCGAAAGCGATTGGGAATCCTCATGGAAGTGAGGACTTTTTTGCTTAATCTCGGCTCTGCAGACTCTATAGTGAGAGCTGGAGGTTCGTAGGGGACACCGCTGACAGGTGTTGAGAATAGTCCCCCATCCAGCCCTAGTAAAAGTACACGACGCTGAAAACTCATCGTCTCGATACAAAGAGCTAGGAATTGAATCAAACACCAATATTACTGTTGAGCTCACCCATATTGGAGGACACATATTCGGATGTATGCTAGCTGCAAGATCTGGACACAGCGACTTTACGGAACATCATCGACGGTTTCAGCACGGAAGTGCCATTCTAACCTGCTCATGTGGACAGGAGAAATCCCCCGATCATTTCTTCTTCTGCCATATTTTGCAATACCAGAATTGGCTAAAGAGGACCCAAAATTCTACTCCCAACATATCTTGGGCTCTGGCTTCAGTAGAGGGAGTTCACGCCTTTAATAGCTGGGCGCTTACCACTGGTTTCTTCATATAGATGTAACAGCAATTCTGACCAGACTTGAACCACTGAATACGAGGCTAGTGAGCCTTTGATGGATGTAAATACATACTCTTTTTTTCCATGTTTACGTTTCCCCATAACTACGAACTGTAAATCGTGGCTTCCAATTAAAGGTTGACGTTCATGTATAGTTTAATCTTCGAATGCAGGATCGTTAGATCCAGGCCTTCTATTGCTATGTTGGGTCTGTGTAGGCGTTAACTCGTCGGGCAGTCTAATTTAGAATGGGCTAGCGGTACGTGAAAAGCTCACGTGCTGTGCGGGGGCACGACAAAAAATTTTTTAATTTAATTTCATTATCCTGATTTGGCGCCCTATGGGCCCATGCAGGTGTCTACAATCTGTAATACTTACACGAGAGAAACCTTTATGGTGAAAACCTCCCACACCTTTCTGCTTGTTGTCTTTAGTTTGCACATATTTTCTTCAGGAAACACAGTCATACTAAAGTGCCATCCATGTAAACCAACCAGATCATTGTTTTACTTGTAATCGACTTTGTATTTGATCGTCGACTTTGTTTATTGGTCTGTTATCACAGACACGGAAATAGATTCATGAGATTGCTTAATGAAAGGCTAGGATTGATTCCGATATAATTTGGTTGAAGACTTGTCCTACAATTTAGAGGCTACAATGTCTTTATATATCTACGTATTTACCCCCATATTCCCCATATCCGCTAGCCATTCTATATCTAGCGTGCATAGCCTGATTTATCTCATGGTTCTGGTTTGGAGCTGTAGTTTCCGAATAGCAGTATTCTATTAGCTACTACAATACGTAGCAGCTTCAGATATAGTTTACTGTGAGATACTTCCACCTGAGCTACATGCCTCCTTCATATGCTGCCGGCTCGGTAATCAGTGAGATAACCGAAGCTAAACCTTAACAATAACCTTAATTACGAACCCATGATTACCTAAGACAGAAGCCTGCAATCTAACACAATTAGGTTAGGAATTGTCAACAACAACCTAATCCAAACAACTTAGTATATGAAATGGGGAACGTACACTTGCGCTTGACGGCTAAGATACCATTTGAAAGAGATTGAATTATAAGTGACTCTATGGATTTATTGCTAAGTGTAGTGTTGGAATGACGCATATCACGTGATGCAATGTAACAGTACATAATAATAAGCTAGTTAGAACACAATGAAATCTTCATGCTTCTTCACTACACTAATACAGTGCCTCTTGGAGGGCAAGACTGATCACCTATACGTGGTGTCCTCTACGAACCTGGGAGTGAAATATTCTCCCAGAGCAAAGTTCAGTCAAATTTCGCAATATCAAAGAAGTTGGCCCACGAGGCAAAAATTCAAATTACTCCTCCACGTCGTTTTTTCGCTCCCAACGAGTTTGACGCCTACCTAAGTCTCTTCAAGTCTACAGGTACGACCAAGTACATCCTGATCCCAATGACCACACCTCTGTTCGACCTTCTTTGGTCTCGGTTGACCACCAAATACACGCCCATGCCGATATTTAGACCCGACGGAGGAAGCAAAGCGTGGCGCACAAATCTGGGAGACAGCTTTTTGGGATGGACGTGAGAGAGATTGGGACAAGTTTACAAGTTAATACAAAAGAAGGATATAACCTCGAAGGGCGTGAAATTCCGAATTTTGGCAAGGAGTTTTACGAATTGGGCTTTGTGTGCGCCGAGACTTCGCTTGCGAGAGTGCAGCTGACACTATGAACACAAGCAAACGATGGAAGGTGTCGTGGTCCGCCTCCTAGTGGTGTTCTTTGGTATAGTTTGAGTAGCCTGGGCATCTACTCCACTTGGGAAGGAGACAACACAGATTACATTTCGCGCGGAGAAAAGTCAATGGATGATGGAGGCACTTCAGGATGACTCAGGGCTATTGAGACGTTTTCCGGAGTGGGTATTCACGGATGAGGGTTGATTTGGGGTGAAGAAAAAGCCACCATAACTTCGCAGTGGTACTTGCAAATGAAATCCGAGGCATGAATACTCCTCTTGTAAATTGAGTCATCTTTTCTGTACTTTTCTTTGATATTGTGTCATAGCTAGATAGCTGCATATGCAATAAAAATCTGATGCAAAAAATAAAAATAATACAGTGCCTCTAGGAACAGAAAGGTTAATCTTGAAACTGGATTGTTTAAGGGATTAGCCCTGTAGGCACAGCTGGGTTAGCTCGTAATAGGTTAGACTGTCTCTCCTCATTACCCCGCTCGCCATGGAGAATGGCCCGATGGTCTTGTTCTAACAATCGCTTTAAAAAACACATTTTCAACGGCATTTTTGGCTGCACAACCCTTCATCATCAGCACCACTATCAATTCATCCTCTATTCCGGCAAGCAATGTCTCTCGAAAAATCTGCTTCAGAAAATTAAGTTCTCAGGCATCTAACTCGCGATCAATGTATTGAAATAAGAGCATTAAGAAGACCTGGCTTTACATTACAACATATATCCGACGAACTTGGATTCTCAAGAAGGCAAGTGCAATTTGCGTGTGCTCGAGAGACTGAGAACTCTATGTCTCGCGAAGAACCCTTACCAAAATTAAGCGCGGAACAAGTTGATGAGCTTGAGGCTTTCGTCCGGGAATCTCCTGAAAATCGACAGATGTACCCTTTGGAACTAGCCATGGGGCCCTTCAGCCATTGGAGATGTAGTGAACGATTAATTTCAAATTCCCTCGATAAAACAGGTTACAGCAGATGCATTGCTCGGAAGAAGCTTCCGTTAAGTGCGGTTAACATGCACGAAAGATGTATAGCGGTGATAAAGGAAAATAGAGGGTATACAAAGTGTAAGGATGGAGCAGACTAATACAAAACATGTAGCACGCTTTCATTTTAGTTGCGGGCTATACCAAGGACTACTATGTAGACTTTTGTAATACAGAGCGATTATTTTTGAAATAGATGTGTATTTTTAGATAATATCAATTGATTTTTTTTATTTTAAATTTTAGATGAGGACCATTGTACATTTCGTTTCGAGTTCAAAACCATCCCCATAATTTAGACTTTCACGGAATATCATTGGAAAGTACCCCTTGCTTGCATAACTAGTCGAGTAACTAGACATGGGCCTGCTTGAAGACCATACCAATTCAGGCAATATGTACAGGGATCTAACCCCAGTCATTTTGACAATTGTACTATTACACCCCATAACAGACTGTATACAAAGTTGGGGTCTTGGTTTATGGGGGACTGATGCTCTAATGGGGTTACACATCTTGAGGAAGGACAGGCGGCTGAGATGTGGAGCGAGAGGGGAAAGAGGTCTCAGAAGACCATGCTGGGACTGACATTTTCGAGAAGTTTTCAACTTTGGAATTTTTGTGGGCGCCAAGACCAAGATTTCGGCTAATTAGCCAGGAGGGCTTCAATTGTAGATGAGTCAACGGCACTCCCCAGCGCCCTGGGCAGTACAAAAGAAGTTGGGCTAAGCTGCCATACAGCAATTACGCACTGTCAAGACTTTTCTGACATTTCAACACGACCTTCGGGAAGTAGTTGAAAAGAGGCTAGAAAGGCAGAGGATGAATTTTCCGAGGTACCCACAAGTCTACAGCGCCCAGCTGGCCTGCCTCTTCGAACGCTTCAGAAGGAGCTCTATGTCACCGGATCTAGTCCTAATGTCGGTATTAGAAGAGCTCCGCACCCAGTGGTTTTTGCGATTTTTCCCGGCTGCCATACACCCGCAAATGGCCATCGTTTCGTTGGCTGGAGAGGGGAGATAATGAAGGGCTAAGGGCTCCTCTTAGTGTATGATCGAATGAGGACTTGTGAGGGGCAGTACTGTTTGAGGGGAATATCCTACAATAGTCTTAGACTTAGACAGGATGTAAATGGAATAAACAAACAAACAGTTTGAGGGTAGATGTATGGGAGGTATAGGAGGGGATATACTACTGGTATAGGTATCTGTAAGGATTCTCCTTTCCATCCTATCTTTAGTATATAATTTTACCCTTCTCCTGATGTTGCTATGACAACAGAACAGTTCTTGGCATTGGTTATTATGTTGGCACTAGTTTAGGGCCTATGTTATGATGAGCTAGTGGGAGGAAAGCAAGTATATGTATGATGGCTTGGCCTGTAGCTATGGAGCTCTTCACGCTTAGTCTTCTGTCACAACCACCACCTTCGGATCACCTCTGGTCACCTATAGTCACCTCTAGTTACCTTTAGCACCTTTAGTCACCATTAGTATTTGCTCGTACCTTTAGACTCTTTAGACACTTATATTACCCATTTTTAAACCTTTAGTTCTCTAAATTATCTCCAGTAGATCTTTAGTAATCTCTCGCGATCCATCCGACCCCTTCTTGCCATTCTATTCCGCCTCAGGTCAAATGCCTACGCTCCAATTTGACGGTATCCTTGGCCTATAGGCAGAGAGGACCTGCATGTCCTATATAGTCATAGACTCAGACAGGACAATAAAATGAATTAAAAAACATTTGTAGATCGTCAGGATACGCTACTAGTACGAGAGTTCACCATGTGTAAATTTGTCAATTCTCTCCTCTCACCTTTTTTAATAATTCTTCATCAGTCCATCTCTTCACCTTTACATCCTTTCCTACCGGTATATCTATACGCAAGCCTCTCTTCGCACAGCGATAAAAAAATGTCTCTCAACATGGTTATTGCAGCACATCTCGCAAAGAAACCTCTCGACAAAGTATTGAGATCGTTCCGGGGCTCATACAGTTTATATTTCACTACTCCATGCGATAGAGTATTCGGCAATCCCAAAAATGTAAACGAATGTCGGGATCCTCTTGAAGACCTCATAATGAAGTTCATTTTTTATGTCTAAGACAGTTTCGATACACCGACTAAAGTCAAAAAGCTTCTACCGCGGTTGAATACGATAGGTAGCTGGATGGGATCTATATCGTTTGATATGACCCCTTTCGAACCAGTTGCCAATTTAATTCTCAATCATGCGACAGATCTTCAAATCTGTAATTCACTCATGCAGCTTGTTGATGAACTAAAAAAAATCATGTCAGCTACAGAATGTTAAAGTTATGAGCTTGAGCGAAGATGGAGGTTGTAGCGGAATCAGTGTCGGCGGTTAGACAGATGCAGTAAGTCTCGTATGAGGTTGTGAGAGGAAGATCCGAGTGGAAACAATTGTATTTAGATGTATGGTTCAGAGTAAAAACCGAGATGATAAGAGTGAGATTGCGTGTTCGCATATCTTATCAACTGTGGTTTTTGACCAGTATTTATCAATCTCCATGGATCGTAAGTTATGATCCATGTAGATGTAGATCTATGTACATACACATATATGGGTCAGGAATATAAAGTAATAAGTTATTCTTGGCATTCCAAGATATATCATATTTCAACACAGAAGACCAGCTCGAAGAACTTGCTTCTGAATCTATATACCGACGAGTAGTAGAATCACATGACGGGGCACAAATAAACATGGAGGACCTGAAGCAAGCTTTGAGCGGAGAGTTGGAAGGCTCGGTGTTTGTGAATGTGATCGGCTTTTGGGACAAATACTTTGAGTCGAAACGGATAAAGGTCGAGCGTGACGGTCTCACCAAGAAATTCACGGAACTTTCGGCGGATCCCAAGTTCCAATTTCCCGCTATCCCGACTGAAGATGCGGTATCGAAATGGATGCAGGTTATCGAACATGACCTAATCAAAGCATATCGAAACTCAACTGATTTGGCAAAAATTGACTCTGCGAGCACCACAGATGAACGGGTTGGATTAGCTTTCACTGGATCTCAATTTCATACTCTCGCAGCCGGAAAAATCATTGGAAACCAATCAAAGCAACAAGTAGATTATTTCATTAAAAGTAGATACCTTCCAATTGACGATAGGCACCATTGGCGTGATATTCTTGTTGTGGGTGAACTTACAGTATCGTCGTCGAAAGTTTCCCGGCAAAAGTTTCTGCAGCTCAGTGTATACATGGGTGAAGTTTTTATGGCTCAGCCCCTTCGTCGTTTCGTCCACGGATCTATCCTTTTCGAAAAAGATCTCCAACTCTGGGTGTCTGATCGATCAGGACCGTATTCTTGTTTGTACATTGATATTGGTGAATCACCAGAGAAACTTGTACATGTCTTGGTGACGTACATGTTGATGAACGACGAGGAACTCGGTCTAGACACCAAAGTCAAATATGAAGGTGAAAATATGATAGTCCATCTTCAGGTGCCTGGGTCGAAGGAAACACGGAAGTTTATCTTGGACCCCGTCCAAATCTCTCAACAGAAGGCATATCTTTGTAGGGGAACAAGTTGCTACAAAGACAGGAACCTCAGCTGCGTGGTCAAGTTCTCGTGGAGAATATGCGACGGACTCTCAGAGATTGAGCTTCTTGAGATGGCGGACAATATACCTGGGATGGCAAAGACACTTGGATCAGTTGATCTGGTAAAAATAAGCCAGCTTCGCGAAAGTCTTCTATTCACAAAGACCATGGTCAAAGACACCCGTCTGACAGAGAAGGTCATGATTACGCCATATGACTTAAGTGGAGAGATCACAAGGATTCTGAAGGAAAGCGTGAATGACCAACTGAGCCGAAAGCGAAAGAGGGAGGCACTTCAAGCTGAAAAGGAGATGGTTGGTCAATTAAAAAAGCACGATCAATGCAAGAAAGTAGGCAAAATTATTACGTTGACATGGAAGTTCCTACTAGTCGTAACACAGATGCAACCGTGACCCAACAAGTTACCGAGTCGAACAGTCTTGTTCCTTCATCACAGACGCTCAAAACGCCAAACTGTGGAAAGGCAAATATCACGGGAGCTCCTGCACAATCATTGGATTACTCTGTCGGCGAGAAAAGGAAGACTGTTGGTGATGCCGAATTAAACGATAGAATGAAGAGAATTCAACCATCAAGCAACGTCGGCTTAGCTTCAATCGACAACTCTGCAGGTCCCAGCACAGCTCCTGGTACGACTCAAAATCCACCAAAGTCAAGTGCCGATGTCAGATCTAGTAGATCGAAAGAGGGAAAAGATTCTGTCATGAAGCCGGTAAAAATGGTGAATACTCAAGTCATAATTCCACGTGACCGTCAATTTACCGCTGCCGGGATCTCGCCGTACAGACGGCCGATGGATAAGTTTAGATCGGCGCTGGAACTGATAATCGGGATGAGAGATGCCATCAAGGCGCACCGGTCGTTACTGATTGACGCAAAGATATTACATCGCGACATCTCGGTGAATAATATTCTATTGACTGGCATCAAGAAGACTGATAAGCTCGGTGGAGTCTTGATAGACCTAGACCTGGCAACATTGATGAAAGATGGAAAAGTTCAGGAAAAAGCTCGAGTGATGACAGGCACCATGCAATTCATTGCACTGGACGTTTTGAGCAACAGCTTTGCAACAACGGGTTCAGTCGTCACCCACACTTACCGACATGATCTGGAGTCATTCTTGTATGTCCTAATCTGGGTGTGTATCAATTGTGGATGGGAAAAGGGCACAAACCCGCATGAAACTTTCCTTTCCAAATGGTATACCAGGACCGCCCAAGAAATACACTTACACAAGGAATACTATATTTGTCTAGGTAGCTTCGAAAAAGTCTTGTTTAAATTTGCGCCGATGTTTGACGACGTCAAGGGTCTAGCTGAAGAATTCAGGGACCTATTATTTAATTCAAAAATAAAGACACGAACAGGAAACCTAGATGACCCCAACAAACTGTATGAACCCATTATTGCGGCGTTTGATAGAGCTATCGAGGCATTGAAAATGTAAGTGAAAGTGAAAGAAATTTGTTATATCTTTTATTATTAGTATTTGTCTTTCTTCTAAAATGCTGAAGTGACGCTTCTGAAACCTTCAAATAATAATCTATGATTCTAATTGCAGATACTGACATTTTTCCAAGAAACAAGCGAATCAGCCCGAAAATCCGAGACCTACCAAACCTGATCTTTTCAAGCAAAATTCAGTAACTAACGAGCAAAATGAAAATTAATGGCGTAAGTGGTCTAATGATAAATATATGAAGTGCGATACCATATTTGCGAACTGCTTACTAGCGAGGTATAGAACGATACACCAACTGTAACGGCTAAGAAGCCGGTATTTTCCTGTAGCCAGTAATGGCAAGTACTGGCGTATAACCACCAGGGGGGTGGGCCGGCGCAATAGCCTTGCAGAACATACCAGAACCACTGTCGAAGGTACTAGATAAGATTCGACATGAACAAGATTGTAACTGAAACTTGGAGAAGCTACTAGAAACCATATTCTCAGAGTTGCAACTGGAATTATCTAGAAATGAACTGACCTTAGATGGAAGGGCTTGGAGTGTAGTAATCTGTATAAATACCTGGCTAAGTGTCTGTAGCTTAGTTCTACATAGTTGAATTTTTAATATACCATCATCCATACAAATGCTCCTTGTTTTCTATAGCTGATCTGTGACACCAACAAAAGCATGGACCAGAAGCAGAAGGAAACGTAACATCGGATAGTTTTCATACCCCTACGAAGAAAATTTCCAAGATTACTCTTCTCGTCATTATATCTCGATAAACTGAAAGATAGGTAATGAATGGAATTTTATATGACGATAGTATAGTTGTCTTAGTGGTTGGAATAAGTGCTCAATGTTATAAGCTGTATTTATTGCAGTGTCTCGAGCTTTATTCAATAAACAAATCTACAGGCAAACTTTGGCAGTCGAGAATAAATGGAAGGAGTGAGGTTGGAATATTCACATGCACGTGTTAAAACGTAGGTGTCTTTTGAGCAATACGAAAAGTCGACATTTATTATACTGAGTAGCTCGGGATTTAGTCAACAGACACGGCGCTGGATTAGGATACCCACGGCGGTACAGGGTTATGGAAGCACGGATTAAATCTTTATAACTACTCCCATAATTCCAATCTCATTATATTTGTGACTTGTAAGCAGAGCTTCGCTCTTAAGATTGATATGTTTCCAATCCGCAGATCTTGCTTTCCATAATTAGCGTATCATAAAACATTAATAGTGTTTACCATGAATTATCAAAACTAAAATTCGTGTCGACAAAAGCGAAGGTCAAGTATAACTGAAGGCCAAACTCCATGGATTATACCCTAACTTGCCCGCTGTCTGGGTTCTTTGCAGCTGGCACCACACTAGAAGTATGACGTTGAGGCGAACAACGATCGGATCAGAAGGTGGTGTCGTAATCCTACTATTTATCCACCAAATTTCTAGTTCGTGGTGTAGAGCCAAAAGATGACTTTCCGGAGTCATAACAGCGGTAGATATGTCGAAGTTGGTCACGGACGAGGACGAAGACAGAGCCTGATAATAAAGACGAGATATTCAGATTAATAATTAGATTCTAAAATATGAGTAATTTACAAGACAAAAAGCTACAGAATAAATCTAGTCCTGGAGCTTACTCAAGTACACGAGCATCAATACTATAACCAAGCGTGTAGTAGTCCACAGCCATAGCACAGCAACTAACGAGTACTCCGAATGGCAACTGTTGCTATCACAACACTGTAACCATTATAATTCCTAAATTATGTTATTGTATGCACGTCATGACTCGGTTGCCCGGGCGCGACGCGACATCCCAGAGGTGGTTCGTGACAAAGTTGCCTTGGACAAAGATGATTACTCCCGGCTCAAAGTGGATGTTGACGAGCAAACACCCCTCATCTGGCTTGCGTTCCAATCTTTTTGAGAATAGTAATGGCGCATGCAGTATCCAACGGCGCTTTTGTTCAGTTTTTCGGATAGTAGGTCTGGTAGAAAACGAGCATAAAATCCGCTGGTGAATACTGAGCCAAATGATTATTCATCTCGGCGACTCAACTGGAAAACTTCTTTCGAGATGAAAGATTATATTAATTCTTTGAAAAGAATGTGTCAAGCATGGAATTGTTTGAATGGTATGGCTTTGGTCAAACTACGTCGTTTGATGAATCGTAGCGCATCAATGAGAGCTGTTTTGGGTTGGGTTATTTCCTCGGATGTTTGAAGGGCAGTCTCAAGCAAAACCACGATGTTTCTAGAAAGTATCAGTCCTGATACACAGTGGGAAGACGCCCATGCACTTCATCATCACACGTGGATATTCTCAGTAGGCATGTGTATATACAGTAGTTTTCTTTAGACTAGGACAGACAGACTTTCACCAATAGATTTTACTTTACATTTTCAATTGACCCTAAGGGTCTGACAGAATGGCCTTGCTAGGACGATGTTTTTCTGCCAGAAATACATCAAGTCATCTCATATGATGCTAATTAGGCTAAACCAAGGGTGGCCTTGAATAGAAAAGAGATGAAGTCCCTACTGATTATATTACTATGAAGGACTGGTGGCCTTGAAGCATGTGCGGATTGGAGTGAAATTTGTAATGGAAACATCATGTAGAGCTTTCTCCCCGACGACACCAAGGACATCTCTTGGTACAAAGTTACTTTTCTGAGTTGGTCCGAACGATGCAGGGGGACTATTCTCAATATCTGTCAGTGGTATCCACTGCGAGCCTCTAGATCTCATTGTAGAGACTTATTTTAGCATCTGATTTTAGTTGCTTATGCAGCTATCTAGCTCTGGCACAATACCAGAGAAGTGTAAAATAGATGACTAGTAAATTACCAAAGCCTTGGTCAAATATAATCATCCTTATAACCTGAACATAATGGAGTTAGGGTTGTGGCAAATGCTATGTGATGAGTCCGAGAGTGAGGCGTTTGGAGACTTTATATACCCTGTATTATTAGTCCCTTACTAGCGTGTAGACTAGGCTGGTAGACAAATATTAGGAGCAGCATAGTCGCAGCATGAATTGATGCTGCGCGTGCCGTGAGATATACACGTTCTGTTAACTCTGTACTTTATCAGTTTTGTTGAAATCTAGACATGCTAGACCTAACTGCACGCAGTGCGGAGTAGACGAAGACTACTCATCTCCAATCGCTACCAGCTTTTGTGAGGTCTCGGTTGGTAATGATTTCGGTGGTGTGAATGTTATTCCATCACGTAATCAGAACACAATGTTTCTACCTAAGCGAGGTAGAACATAGATAGACAATTAGATGTAGATTAAACACTAACACTTTCAACTACCGAAATATAAGTTCAGTAAAACCAAAACCTCTCTGATCCTAACCTTTTAACTCTGATCCTTAAATCCACAATATCTTACGATTCATACAGTATTGACTTGACGGTCAACGTTCACTTCTATCATTCCAGATACCCCCAAGAACTTTAATAAGTTTTACTTCCAGTACTACTGTATCACACGTCTAAAGGAATCATATTCTAATAATGACTCAATTTAAAAGAGGAGCAATCATGCCTCGGATTACATTTGCAAGTACCACTGCGATGTTATGCCGGCTTTTTCTTCACCCCAAGTCAACCCTCATCCATGAATAACCACCTAGGGGAACGTCTCAAAACCCCTGGGTTATCGAGACATGCCTCCATTATCCATTTAATTTAATCTGCGTAAAATGTGGACTTAGATGTATCCTTCCCAAGTGGATTATGTTGCCAGGCTACTCAAACTATTCTAGAGAAGAGCAACAGGAGACGGACCACAGCGTTTTCCATCATTGATCTGTGTTTATAGTGTCAGCCGCACTGTCACGAGCGCAGTCGTTGGAAATTCTGACTCTCGTATTTAGGACTCAACCATTATCTGTTTCGTCTCAGATTCCCGACAAGATCGACTCTCTCTACAAATGTCCCGAGTGCCCTAATCGCGCCATCTCTTGCATATACGTTTGGATATTTACGTACTACAGTGCACCTTGGCTCATCATGGTAGATGAAAGGTGGCTGGTCATCACTAGGTTTGACAGGCATAGGAGACTAGCGGGAATTTCTCCCTTAGATGTATATATAAGTCCAGTGTTCCCAAAGTTGTAAAATATCAAGTCTTCTTTACTTCATCATATATATCCATATAATGTCGTACAGAGTATATTTTCCAACAGAAGTCTTGGCGCACACAAAGCTCAATTCGTATAACTCTTTCCAAAATTCCAGAATTCACGCCCATCGAAGTTATAGTCTTCCTTTGCATCATCTGGTGAAATTGTTCTGATCCCTCTCAAGTTAATCCCAAAGAACAGTCTCCCTGATTTGTGCGCCACGCCTTGCTTCCTCCGTTGAGTCTAAATTTCGGCGTGGGCGTGAATTTGATGACCAGCTTAGGCCAGAGAATAGTCGATAAGAGGTGTGGTCATTGGGATGAGGACGTACTTGGTCGTACTTGTAGACTTGATGAGGCATGGATAGGATTCGAACTCGTTGGGTGTTAAAAATTGACGTGGCGGAGTATTTTGAATCATTGCCTCGTGGGCCAACTTCTTTGATATTGCCAAATTTGACTGAATTTGGCACTGGGAGAATATTTCACTCCCAGGTTCGTAGATGACACTGGGTACAGGTGTTCAGTCTTGCCCTTCTGGTCAATGTTTGAGTGGCCATGAACGGGTTAGCCATACTGGTACCTTATTATGTTCCATGTAAATGCGACTCATCATTGTCAATTAGCGCCAATTTCAACAACGTCAACCCGTTAGCCCATGATATTTTGAAGTCTTTGCCATTATAGGGCTATCTATCCCCATAACAGTGTGGCACTGATTTCCGTAAACTATGGCTTGTTGTGACGGCTGGTAAGCCGACAGGTTCCTGTAGCCTATGTTGGCTAACATAGGCTTGGTCCGATTTAGGGTGCGCACGATCGATCGATCTAATATCGGAGCATCGGAATCTGCATAGCATCCGATTCAAAAGTGTAGCTCAACATGGCACCACTTGTCGGTGAGAAGCTATCGGCTGGGAATATACGAGATCGGACACAACCTCCTCAATTGATAGTGCAATGACGTCGTAGAACATGAGGCTCTTTTGTATATGTACATGTGTAGATAGATCTTGTAGTGGTTCTCTCCTTAGAATTATTATCTACTACCATCAACCACATAGTTGCTCCAGCACCTGTCCTAGAATCCGTGACACTTGTAGTCTTGAGGAGGTTAAACTTCTCTTCTGCGAAAGAGAGAGAGGAAAGTTTGTTGTACTACTTGAGTCTATGACTATCTAGCACATTAGGCTCCTCTCTGACCTAGGCCACACCTTGTACAGTGCTCCTATCCTCTTCTTTTATTTGTAAGATAATTGATAGATTGCCCGTGATGAATGGCCATTCAGCTCAGTATTTAGCCATGGAAATTAGCTACCATTTCCACGGAGCCTTCTACCCAAAAAAATAAAAAAAAAGGTCGCAATGGAAATTTCGTGCGCGGGAAAAAGTCTCAAAAAACCTGCAGACCCAGCCAGGCGAGACCTAGACACCGAGACCACATGAGGTGCGCATATTCATCTATATCTCCCTTCTTTGTAACAGTTGAGGTCGACTTGATCCAATCCGCCATCTCCGTATCGGGTGCTGGGTACGCTCCGGAAACTCATCGGATGGCTTTTCCTCCGTGATCAAGGGTTGTTGATGAGTAGGGCTCCGACCCTACCATCTGATCTGATCGTGGTTAGCTTCATGATAATGGTGATAGGGGAATGTGTTGAGAGATGAAGACGATACAGACCGCGAAAGCGATTGGGAATCCTCATGGAAGTGAGGACTTTTTTGCTCAATCTCGGCTCTGCAGACTCTATAGTGAGAGCAGGAGGTTCGTAGGGGACACCACTGACAGGTGTTGAGAATAGTATACTTCTTTCGCTATGATAATGGGCCGAATCAAAGTAGTTTGGTCGCTTCCTGCATAGTCTCCGACACTATTCACTTGCTAGATTTTAATCAATGGATCCACCCTAAGATTGAGTATGGCGCGTCAAAGTTTAAGAACAATTTTACCTCGATGATAATTAATGAGACTTTTCTTAGCAGCCATCGGCACCTCAATATTTCCTCAGGAATCAAATACAATTGGCTTTGTTGTGAATATCGTGAGCATGACTTGTAAATGTCTATTTACGATAGATACCTTGGTAGGGGCAAAAAACCACCACGCATGCTGAGTTTGAGGCAGAGTCATATATGCTTAGGTGAAGCATCCGGGTCAGGAAGTCGCGGCCAAGGAGTATCATATATACTTAGCATTGTGTCATAGTTGTGAACCTAGGGTCTAGTGATACGTGGGCAACGGGAGATATTACTGAGTCAATGAGTCTCAGTTTACGATTAAGTAGTACTGGCGTAGTCATGTGGGATAAAAGCTAGCACAAGGGACTTGTATATATTATAGCGATATCTTCATGTTCAGATAGAAGTAACAACAACAATAAGCAAGCAAGCAAGCAATCAATCAATCGAATATTATCAGGATCATTATTCATATCATTATAGTATCATAAATTAATCGATAATATTCCTATAGACTTTATTCTCCATACCCCATCGTAAAATTTAAACTGGGTTTGGCTTACGGAGAGATAGATGACAAGAACTGTTAAGTACTCAAAAATTTCCCTTATCCGACAATTAATTGTCTACAGGGCCCTACTGTTTACACATGGGCATACTGAATAAGCTCTAGATTTATTGTCACAGTGGCCTGTGGTGGCAGTAGGGAAAGGAACGCATAGGTCTGAAGTTAGTCATAAATTGTTTTAGTAGAAATACTTGAACGGGAAATAGTGGTGCAAAATTCTCGTCAGTCCAAGCTTTAGTTCATTACCGTAATGGTTATTTTGAGAGCCAACGCCATACACCCATTCTCCCACATATGCATTTTAACCTCAACCATCATCAATTTATATGATATATACAATGTTCACCACAACTTGAATACTTCTCCGCCAAGTAACTCCATACAATTATCTACTTTCCTTAAAAGATCGTTAATTACTTTGACGTTCCTTGATCTCTAGTAACCTTTCCCGGATTCTATAGTCGGCGAATTGGAGCACGAGTCCGAACGAGGAACGGACTTGGCATATCGTCACGCTCAGGGTCCCAGAGGTTTGATTCCACAGTCTTTTCGGCCGTACGGGACGCATACGGGCGACCTTTTGGTTCGGGACTCCTATTAGCATCGATGTGGATAGGCCTACCCCCTGCTCTAGCCTGCGCGAGTTCTACAAGCGTTCTACCTTTGGGGGGTATATTGGTTGTAGAAGTCTTGATCGTCATATTTTTCGTGGCAAGCTTGTTTAAATCATCAGTATGAGGGTGGCGCTTAAGACTGATTTTCCTCTGTGGTGAAACAGGTGTGTTTTCATAGGTCAGATTAGTCGATGATGGAATTTTGGAAAGACGTCGATTCGGCGAGTTTGCCATCTCTCGCAAAGCGTTATTACTTTTCTTGGGTTGCAGTTCCGGCGCAGTTGAGAGGGACGGAAGTGATGAGGTGTTAGCTGTCTTGCTAGCTAGACCTCCGCTCTTTTTTTGCATTTGTGTGGATTTTTGCGACATAGTTAATGATCGTTCTATGTTTACCCGAGCTTGATTTTTCGCAGAGATGGCCCGGGTAGGTGATGGTACTGGCGGTAAGTCATCATCGTCCGATTCATCTGAGTTGGTGAGTGTAGGTTGCCAGCGGTTCTCGGATCCATTCGCGTTAGCGAATATATTTCTTCCCTTGAGGGCGTTGCGTCGTGGGGATAATGAGAGAGAAGCGATCGAGATAGGGGAGGGCTCTGCCATCTCGATATCCATGGGAGTAGCGGCAAACATTGTTTGGGCCCGGACAAAGGGGGTCCGTGCTCTTCTTTTGGGAAAATCCATTGATTCCAAGGATTCAAAGAATAAATTAGGCACGTCAGGAGATTCATCAAAAATATCGTCCTCGTCTGTGTTTTGTGAGGCCCGAGAATTCTTATCGGTAGTGTTGGAGCCAGATTCCGATAGCTCTAACGCTACAGTTTGACTCTTTGAGTTGGATTGTCCATGGTTATTTTCTCTTCTCCCAACCTCAGCTTCCACCTTCAGTCTCACCTCTTCATCGAATTTTTTCTGTAAGCGATCTATTTCAATTTGCACTTGACTATTGATTTCAAGCTGGGCTTTAACTTCCCATTCCTTTCTTACTTTTGTCTCAATATCTTGCTGCATTTGAATCTTTGCTGCGTCAAGGGATCGACTTTTCTCCTCTGTTTCAAGAATCTTCATTGCTACCATCTCTTCTCGTTTCTTGATACTTTTCGACAATATGATCATCTCCCTCTCTCTTCGGACAAGTTTCACAGGGGGTATATCAAGTAGTGAGGCGGTGTCTGGTCGACGGTCGGGGTTGACTAAAAGGCAATCGCTGATTACGCGCCTAAGTTCAACGCTATAAATGCTAGGTAATGGTGCCAATCGACCTTCTTTTATCTTTTGGATAAGCTGAAAATGAGTTTTTGCGTTGAATGGGGGTTCTCTCGAGCATAGTTCATACATTATGCAGCCAAGTGACCAAACATCTGATTTAAGTGTATATCTCTCGGCGGCACAGATTTCGGGGGACATGTAAAATGGTGTGCCGACGTAAGTGGATGCAAAATCATGCGACTGCATTATTTTGGAAAGGCCAAAATCACCAAGTTTTACTGAATTGTCTTCGCCGAGAAAGACTAATAAAAGTTGTTAGTGATTCCAAGCAACACTGGTTGGAGTTAGATAAATTACCATTTTCAGGCTTCAAATCTCGATGTAAGATCATGACACTTCCGACAGGTTGTTTGGGTTTAGAAAGTTTGGCCGCTCCATTTGCGACAAAAGTTGGTTCGGGAGGATCTGTACCATAGTGGCAACGATAGAGAGCTGTAGTGAGTTGTGCAAACATGCTCCAGACAAAATTTTCATCAGCATATTCATTTCGATGAACAAGGTTTTGAATGACTCTCCCAAGGTCACCATTTCCACAATATTCCATGTAAAGATGTAGATCTTGGGTTGACTTGAGATGCTCCCGGTGGTAGTAACCAACAATGTTCGGATGGCGTAAGGAGGAGAGGATGGCAAATTCTGCGTGTAATTGCTCTCGTTCTTTCTGGCTCATCCTCAGATAGCTAATTTCTTTGCGACAAAGAATCTGACCATCCTGTTTTCGGCGAACTTTTCTGATAACCCCAAAAGAGCCGTGTCCTGTATAGTTAGCTATGGACCTGCATACTGTGTGGTTGGCGTACCAATCTTTTCCAGAACTTCATACTTGTCACACTCAGACATGGCTACTCAATTTCCTCTTAAAGTCTTTCAAATGAGGCGAGAATGAGATATGTCCATCAGCGACTATGACAGACTCGCAGCGTGGAACGAAGTAAAGTCTTAAGAAGACTTTAAGTAGTAGTTGATTTTTGTGTGGTTCGACCTCAGGAAACCTAACTTGCAATTACTGATCAACAAACTTACTTGAGGATTGTTTGCCCCCGTTGACCTGAGACTTCATTATCGTGATGTAAAGCCAGATAGAAGCCTCGCTTGTTTATTTACATTTTTGTTGCCCCTGACGACTTTTCTCGCCGATCCTCGCAATCAGATGACTCGCTCAAGCAGCACCAGTTAGATCCACGGAACGGGCCATAACGAGCTACAGCTTGGCACTAGTAATATCGCTAAGGAATCACTAACATACTAAATCTAGACCTTCAACAATGTCAATGTCGCCCGCCCTATTATTCTAGTAATCGCTCGGGAATCAGCTGAGTAAAGATCTGATAGTTAATCATCTTAATTTCGAATATGCACTCTCAAATTTTAGGGAGAAACGCTTTCACTACTTCATGAGAATATTTAGATTTCGAATATGGCGCTAAGAAAAAGTGGAGATGAAGCAATGCAATCTAGTATCACGGTGATAACAGAAGCAACTATCACATCCTAAAATATGCCACCCTTCACCGGGTCAACTCATAGCGCATACGAGCAACGCACGAGGTCCTATTACACTCCAACTCATCTATGTATGAATCGTCAGAATAATAGTCTATAATCTTGAGTCTTGATTTCCCCAGCCAGGATGAAACTGTCTTACGAGTAAATCTACCAGATAACCACAACTTGAAAGTGTGAGATCACAAGATTAGCCTTATTTGCGGTAAACCCACTCCCTTAATTTATTTAATAACTCGCTCAAAATGTCGGTTTTCATACAGTTCAGAAAATATCTAGAGTCACAAGACTTGTAAAAGATCTCAACACATAAACAAGTCTAGTGACTTCAACTTAATTGCCTAAATACTGACAAAGGAGCGGCGGTGCATTCGAATATAGCCCAAAGCTGAATAAGTATTCTCACAACTAGTGACTCCTGGATAAATTTCCCATAGCTACACAGCAGCCGATGTCATTTGCTTGATTGGCCGGAAAACGGAGTCAATCTGAGGATAATGGCTCCTCAATGTGGTTATTCCAATAGAGACAAAGAAATTTACTGCCGCTGATCAGAAGCCACTAAAGAGGTCCCGTCATGATCTGAGACGACGAGGTTGTCCACGCTAGGGCACGTATGTGGCTGAAGGCCATTGCATATATCGCGAGTGTGTTGGCTAGACTAGTACGTACATAGTTACATAGATGTACCCACAGCAAAAAGGACACTGGCACAGTCTAATTCTTTGTGTTCAGATACTAGCAGCATATTACTCTACAGGTCTATTCACTGTTATCTACAAAATATAGTATTATCTACTCCTTATCACTCCGAATTATGAATTCCGTGTAGCTCATAACCACAACAGGTACAGAGTGATCCAAAAACCTAACTGTAAACTATTGAAAAATCGGTATGGGTTCAATGAGTAAGGCGGCTCAAAGAATATGGGCGCGATTATAAGTAGAATAATAATGATATGAATCCGGACAATATGTCGTATACTGTGGAGAAATAAAAAATAGATTGAATTAACTGATTATCTGTGTTGGTATGACAAAGGTCATACACTAAAAGTAAATTAGTCCACTTAAAGTTATGAGAGTACGTGTGTAAGTATTTCTAACTATCGTTCAGAAGAAATGCGCATTCATTGTTCATTCGTTTCCTTATCTGAGTTGAGGCTATGGAATTGCTACCTAGCCCACATTCGGATAATACTTTATCCGATTACCAGAATCCACAAATCAAGAGAACTATATTGTAATAACGAGGTTATGAGAAGTCTAAGAATTGTCACAATGGGTGTAACGGTCAACTTGGGTGGATATAGGATAGCGCTTTAAGTCTAACGTGAAGCAGATGGATATGTATTGTATATCTGCTATATTGATGAATATTGAATATAAGAGTGGAAAAGGTTAATCAAGTACAGAGGTCTAGCAGCAAGTGTGTGTTTGTGTTTATTGTACTACTTGAGTCTATGACCATCTAGTAAATTGGGCTCCTCTCTGACCCAGGCCACACCTTGTACAGTGCTCCTATCCTCTTTTGTTACTTGAAAGATCATTGATATATTCCCCTTGATGAATAGCCATTTAGCTCAGTGTTTATCCGTGTAATTCGGCCACCTTTTCCACGGAACCTTCTACCCAAAAAAAATTAGGAAAATAGCAATGGAAACTGCGTGAGCGGGAAAAAGTCTCAAAAAACCTGCAGACCCAGCCAGGCGAGGCCTAGACAACGGGACCACATGAGGTGCGCATATTCATCTATATCTCCCTTCTTTGTAACAGTTGAGGTCGACTTGATCCAATCCGCCATCTCCGTATCGGGTGCTGGGTACGCTCCGGAAACTCATCGGATAGCTTTTCCTCCGTGATCAAGGATTGGTGATGAGTAGGGCTCCGACCCTACCATCTGATCTGATCGTGGTTAGCTTCATGATAATGGTGATAGGAGGATGTGTTGAGAGATGAAGACGATACAGACCGCGAAAGCGATTGGGAACCCTCTTCGAAGTGAGGACTTTGTTACTCAATCTCGGCTCTGCAGACTCTACAGTGAGAGCTGGAGGTTCGTGGGGGACACCGCTGACAGGTGTTGAGAATAGTCCCCCTCTAGCAGCGAGTATTTATACACAAAGACAATACATAAAATATACCATCAATAACAATAACTTTCAACCATTCAGCCATTCAAAAACTATATCATTAGATATACCTGCGTCATATTATCATACTATCATGTATGGTTGAGATACTGGTGTTGTCATTGCTGTGTGCTGATGACGTATCATTGACACAGGGTCGCTTGTCCTGTCGGTTACACTTGCCTAATGCTAGCCATTCCAAGTTGTGTGATCTATAAGTGGGCCTGATCACAACAAACTAGCCAATGCAATGCAACAACCACCGACTCCAAATAATTCCATCTAGATGAATCATTCCAACAATCTTTCTTGGGGATCCCCAAACAGCCTTTTTTTTTGTATAGATTTTAATCGCGTATGTAGCTATCTAGCTACGACACAATATCAGAGAAAGAGTACATATTAGATGACTTAATATAAATAAAGGGCACTCATGCCTCGGGTTTCATTTATATGGACCACAACGAAGTTATGGCGGCTTTTTTCTTCACCTCAAGCCAACCCTCATCCGAGAATACCCACCCCGGAAAACGTCTCAAAAACTCTGAGTTATCCAGACATGCCTCCATCATCCGTTTACATTTCTCCGCGCGAAATGTAATCTGAGATGTCTCCTTCCCAAGTAGAGTAGGTGCCTAGGCTACTCAAACTACACCAGGAGGCTGACCACGACACCTTCCATCGTCTGCTTATTTTCATAGTGTCAGCTGCACTCTCGCAAGTGAAGTCTTGGCGCACACAAAGCCCAATTCGTAAAACTCCTTGCCAAAATTCGGAATTTCACGCCCTTCGAGGTTATATCCTTCTTTTGTATTAACTTGTAAACTTGTCCCAATCCCTCTTACGTCCATCCCAAAAGCTGTCTCCCAGATTTGTGCGCCACGCTTTGCTTCCTCCGTCGGGTATAAATATCGGCATGGGCGTGTATTTGGTGGTCAACCGAGACCAAAGAAGGTCGAACAGAGGTGTGGTCATTGGGATCAGGATGTACTTGGTCGTACCTGTAGACTTGAAGAGACTTAGGTAGGCGTCAAACTCGTTGGGAGCGAAAAAACGACGTGGTGGATTAATTTGAATTTTTGCCTCGTGGGCCAACTTCTTTGATATTGCGAAATTCGACTGAACTTGTCCCTGGGAGAATATTTCACTCCCAGGTTCATAGAGGCCTTAGACAGCTTATATACATATATCTCAGTAATATAAAACTAAACCAAATATCAACCCCGAGCCTAGTTCCATACTAATTCCACTGAGGACAGGATTGGTAGACCAAATCTACTCACTGGGTATCACATCAAACATGCTCAATAACGTGATTTTCATTGACTCCGGCCGTGAGTCAGATGTTAAAATCTTTATTGTTCCAATCCCAGGGAAACTTCAAACATACAGGGTGTGAATTTCCAACATAAACATTACTGGCTCATTCTCGTGTTGTGATTAGATCACTTAGGTTCTCTACCCAGGTTCAACTTGAAAACCCGCCTTTCCTTTACACGTATGTACGAATGAATCACCTCTGATGTCTGTATAATTCCCAGTCCTCATATGTCACATGACCGTAGAACTTGACTCTACTTAGACGTGCACCCGCTCACCATCTATTGATTTTCTCAATGGCCGTGCACTTGCAGCCACCGTCCGACTAAGCCGTCTAGATCCTCGACACCCGCTCTTACGCCGTGCTAACAGAGTTCTCAGCTCACAGCGTGCTACCTCTCGATTTGCCCGACGTGTACTTTCACTCCCCAGATCAGAGCAAATCAATGCAATCGCTATTCCTCCTTGGAATCCACGTGAGAGCCGTGAAGCTGCACAATCCCGGGTGGCTGGACCGAACAGTACCACTACAGAGGAAAACAAACAGTCCTTCCTTGACTTTCTTACGACCATCTCCTTCGGAGACATCATTATCTACTCAGATGGCTCTAAGCAACTAAACGGCTTGAGCGGCGCTGGCTTCATCGGATACCAAGGAGGCGTAAAAGTCTTGCATCAAAGTCTTGCCCTTGGAAAAGGCGTCGAAGTTTTCGATGCGGAAGTAAAAGGTGCCCTAGAGGGGGCAAAGTCCGCACCAGCATTCCCAAATGCCAAATTCGCGACAGATCTATGGATTTGTCTAGATAATCTGGAAGTTGCCACTCGACTGTTATTCCCCTTTTCAGGGTCCTCACAAGCGCAATTTGACGAGTTCCTCACCTTAAA